TCTGAATTGGCCACCCCTACTTTATGGTTATTTCTTAATGTTGTGTGTACTAATTGAAAAGTTACAACTCTTCCAATGGTGACTTTTCATAATGATATGTTTTGTGGTAACTAAGGCATTCTAAGTTGCGTTTTTTTATTTATATTCATTTCTTTCTCCGTTGTGTTTGCTTGTATTGCAAGGTCTTTTATGGTTTTCTTTAAAATATGTTAATAATTTATATTATTCTCTTTCTAACTGACTTCATATATATGTTTAATCTCTTTATTACATAGTCTTCATAAGTCCAATTTGGATTAACTCGACTTGACAATTTCATAGTAAAAAAATGCTTTAAAATCTATTAAAGATGATTATAAGTTTATGTTCACATTTGTTTTGAAAAATAAATTGTATTTTTAAATGTGTGGGCAAAAAAACTTAAAGAAAAGATGTAGTCGGAAGGTTCTTTACCCCCGCGATTTTCGGAGGGCGTCGAATCCTAGTATTTATAATAACTTATATGATATTTAAATTTGTTATTTAATTTTATAATTAAAAAAATATTCAAATTAGTTAGTTTTAAAAAATTTTAATTTAACAAACAAGCTCATAGTATTGTACGTCACAAATTTTGATTTTGATTTTTGACCAATGCTAAAAAAATTTCATCTTCTCCTCTTGTTGCTTTGTAAGTTTCGTTACTTGTTGGATATGCACTTCCAAAATTTACAAAATTTACAAGACACTTGCTCAACTTTAAGTATCCATCATACTATACAGTGCCGTGCCTAGCGTTTCAGGGGCCCTAGGCGATATAATAAAAATATGTCTCGTATTAAGACATACATTTTATCATATAAAATATAAACTTTTTATAAAAATATATATTCAATATAACCAAAAGTTATTTTTTATAGTTTTACGTGATATATATATATATATATATATATTTATAAATCTATTTATTTTTATTTTGTATGTGAGAACAAAATAATTTATTGGATCAAACATAAAATATTAAATATTTGATATTGAAACAATAGCAAACAATAATGTGCCTATATTCACCAACTCTGTTAATTAGTATATCTTAATTGTAACTATAAAGTTAGACACATATATAATCTGCAAAAACAGAATATCAAATGATTTTTAAAAAAATTAAAAAAATGAAACGGAAAACTTATAATGATTTGAGTATTTAAAATATAAAATTCTGATATGATGCTAATTAACCC